TGTTCTAACTTCGGGGGCTGTCTGTTGTAGTGGAAAGAGTGCTGGTTTAGGAATCAAACAGATCTGTCATTGGCTCCTGGTGGCTTTATAAACTAGCTAGGTAATCTTAGAAAGGTTGGATTTGCTGAGCTTTCATTTTCAGACCTGTAAAGTGGAAAAAATACATACTTACCTCGTAGGGCTGGTGTGAGAAGGCTGCTGGGAGCAGTACCTGGGATCATGAATTCATAGAACCCGGCAAGTGGGTGGCAGGTATTTAATAAACATGAGCTTCCTGGCCCCTTCCCTCCCTTTAAGTGCAGATCGGAGCACCATTTGTGTTCGGTTGGGATCCTTTCGTAACAACGTTTTGTAAATCCTATGCTTCCAACTCATTTTATGGCCTTATATTATAAAATCAAATAGTCTTGCCAAACATGTCTCCATGAGAGCAATCTGCTATAAGGTTAGTGTGAGAGTCTTCTATAAGGCTAATGTTAAGAAAAACGTTAATGGGAGGGCAAAAGTGTCCACCTACAGAATGTTAAACCTCCAGAAAACTTACGTTGTTCCATTTGCTCATGGCAAAAGAACATAATTCTACCTTATGGGAAAAAATTCAAAATTTATAATAATCACCAACTCCTGATTGTTGACCTGGGTCATTACTACAGAAATGGAAATGTATGGATACTCTGCTCCTAAAGGCCTGGAATCTGAAAATAGAGCAAGATATATCCAACTGGGGACCAGCTTCAGTGTGTTTGAAGCCCTGTGGCCAGAGCTGATTTCTTGTGGTTGATGCTGTAGACTTCAGGGGTGCCAGGCATGGCAGTTATCTGGGTCTCCCCAAGAGAGCTGATGATGCTGTAGAGGGCCTCCCTGGCATCTTGGTCCTTGGAGAGTGCATTTCGGAATGCATTAGAGTGGAGTCTCCTATCTGATTCCTTTTATCTTTTCAGGTCCATTTCAGGTAAATCACCTCATATCAATGGACCACTGGGATCAGGGATTAAGAGCAAGAAGGACAAATGAAAGCACACATCCCCATAACACAGCTGGCATGGTGTCCTGGCTGTTACATTAGGAGGTCTGTGAGAGTGTGTGGGGCCCCATAGTTCACGTGGGCCAGAGTTTTCCTGATCAGTGGTCTAAAGGCGGGGAGGGCAGGGGTCCGTGTCTTGTCTATGAGGTAGTACCCATAGTGGTTATGGGTCCGTCTGGGATTAAGGAGAGCTTTTTAAGGACACAGAGTTGATAGACCTGGGTTTGAATCCCAGCTCTGCTTTGTGAATTTGTGCCAGTTCTGGAAGCTTCCAAGCCTCATTTTCTTCCCCTGTAAAATGAAGCCCTTAATAGCTCCTATCTCACAGGGTTATGGTTGAGATTAAATGAGCTAATACATGAAATAAGCTTGGACAGCAGCAGGTTCATAGTAAATGCTTGAGAAATGTTAGCTAAGATTAGTAGTAGTTATTATTAGTGCTTACCAAGTATTTCATGTGGCATATCTGTTAGCTTCAGGGTGCCAGTGTTTTGTGCTGGTTGTGGGGAGGCAAAGGATTGGAAATACCAAATATTGCAAATATTTGGTATCTGGACTCACTCTTCTTTTTCTAGTTCCTACGTTTCTTCCTCATGTGCCCATTTCCATCACTTAAGAAAAAAAAGGATGGTTACTGCAGTCCAGCTACCCAGTGTCACAGCTGTATGGGAAGGTAGATGACACAGTTCAAACCTCCCCACATGACGCAAGAGAAAAATAATGTTGCCTTTAGTTACACGACAGCAAAGGGGTACTTACCTTATCTTGGAAATGAGGTATCTCAATTAAGAGTCTCACGGTCACGTGTTAAGGCCGATGGACACCTAGCTCAGGGTCCCTTCCCAGGTATGGCCCAGCCTGTGCTACAGCAGAGTCTTAGGCGCTAGGATCTGCCTCACCTATGCTCAGCCGCTAGGGTCCCTCAAACATACTTTCTTGAGGCCTTGCCTGTGCAAGAGAACAGAGATCGGCATGCTGTGGCCTTCCCTCAGCCACAGATTGTCTTTGTAAATAAAGCTTTATTAGAACATAGCCCATTTGTTTACCTATGGTCCATGACAGATCTCACGGTACTACAACAGTTGAGTAGTTCCAAGAGAGACTGCTCACTAAGTCTAAAATGTTTACTACTTGGCCCATTACAGAAAAAAGTTGTGACTGTGTTTTGGTGGCTCGCTCTCGGGGCCCCTTCTGCCCCTCATCTTCTCACCCTGTCTCCTCAAAAGGCACTCACTGCTCTTTAGTTCTTAGTTTCTGGGCCAACCTCTCTCCAGAGGCTTCCCAATTCTTGCTGCCATGAGGCAGAACTCACCACTGCCGTGAATCGGCTCTCCTTATCCACAGACAGACCCTAGCTCTTAGTACTGTTATCACATTGGTTTTGTTCGTATTCGGATCCATCCAGCTCATTGAAATGGGAGTTCTTGGAGGGTGGGGACCATATCTTTTCCACTTTTGTATCTGATCTAGGACCTGGCGTATAGCCAAGATTGTAAGTAAAGGAATGAATGAAAAATCATGTTTCAAATATATCAGGCTCATATAATGCACCTCCAAATAAAAGAAGTCCTGCAGAGAAGAATTATGCTACCACGTGGATAGTTTCTGAGAAGTGTGAGTTGTTGGCTCTGTCTCCATGGCAGTCACAGATTTCTGAGGGACAGGGCCATATTTGTTTTGTGAAATTTCTCATTTTAGGTTTTATAACCCTTGTTGTCCCTGCCATGATGACCAAGCACTCTGGGTTGTTGAAGCTGCTGATGAGGCAGGTGTGTGTGTGTGTGTGTGTGTGTGTATTCCTCATGCTATTCTGGGCAACAGGCCCCATCAGAGGCATTTGAACAAAAATATCTTCCTTGCATATTCCACCAGTGACAGATTCTTCCAGTTTACTCTTGAGCAATGATAATAGCCTAGGTGCGTGGGGTCCAAAGTCTGTCATTTAGGGCAGTTTACTCTAAGGGATTATGTTCTTGCAGCTGTTGGGAGAGTAGCAGTTTTGAGTGAGTTGGGCAAAGCAGGTGTAATGAAAAAGGAAGGAAGGGTAGAAAATGGATAAATACTCTATTTCAGTCTTGAACTAATTTTCCAGGTCACAGTTAATTTCACTAGCACCCTCTCTTGGAGAATTTGACACCTCTTAGCTATTTGAAGTGGATTTTAACCTAAGGGGAAATAGCCTCTCAAGGGAAATGTGGATCGTGGTTGGGAGGAGGTCAATCAGAGGATAGTGGAAGAGCCCACTGGAGTAAGCCAGCCTCTGCTGTGTCTGGTACCTCCCTCTGGCTTCTGGCCAGATAGGTGGTTTTCCCAAGCCACCAAGATAGTCAGGTAAGAACAGCACCAGGCAGTGGCAAGTATTCTCCACCTGTTAGACTGAAAACACTGCTTGCACGGTTTCTTCCCTCATCTAAACCAAACCAAAGCAAATATTCAAGCCACAATAAAATACAGCGAAACTCTATCCCACTGCAACAGAAGCTTATCCTGTCCGTCTGGTCTTGACTGAATGATCAGATGCATTGACATCTACACGTTGACCATAAGCTTACCACCGCTGAGTAGGGCCTCTGGGATTCCTAGTGGGGCTTAGAACAGACTTCACATGTCTGGCAGGCATGGCTGGGTAGAGAAGAAACCAAACTTCCTAGGACAGGAAGCAGCAGGCAGCAAGAAAACCAGCCCGGCAGGCAGACGGGGAGCCAGAAACTACTTTTCCTCAGAGGTTTCTGTCTTTTAGTACATGCATCTATCTCCATTTTCCATGTTCCTCAATGAATGACCACCTCTGGAAGGTGTGAAAGAATATCCATTAGCGACCACGAGAGACTTTCTCCTGGGCAAATTCCTCGAGTGGTGTGACTACCATCCCAGGGACGGGCTGGTTGCCCTTGTGTGGAATGCTTCGGCAGGCTTTTCCACTAGTAAGGGCTAGGAAGCCTTGCCATAGTGTGAGTGAGGGGAAGCTGGAGGGCAATTATTGGATACAGGTCAGTGGAATCAGAGGACCGGAATGTACAGATGTCACTCAACCAACCTTTAAAAGTCAGCGCTAGAGCAAGCTATTCCATGATCAGATGGTGAAAAGGGATTTTTTTGGAGGGGCATGCTCCCCCCTGCTTGGAAGACATTAGCAACTCTGTCAAATGATTTCTTAGGAGCTCTTGGTTTCCAGTTATTATTTCACCTGTTAAGCATTCTCAGCAAGCTCCTCGGGGTGGTGGGGGGGTACCGTGAGAGGAGGCTATTCCTGCTCCTTCGTTAGCTGTGAGGAAAGCTGGCATGGCATGCTGTGGCCTTCTGGAGCCCTGTGTCCCTAGGGTGTCTGTATCCTTCTCTCAGCTGAGGCCTGACATCACACAGCATCAGCTGGGAGAAGACAGCAAACCCCATCCCCTAGAGAGGCACTTTTGCAGAATGTCCTTACTTCATAGGAGGGAATGATACTGGCTAAAAATCAAAAACAAAATCCAAGCCTTCCTGGTCTATACACAGGAGTTACAAAGATCTGTCAGTTTCAGCAGAGGGAGACTTTTCATCCATCCCTGGGCACGTTCAACTGAGATGGTGTACGAGTTGGTAGCAGAAGAGAGAGAACTCTAGCAGTCACTTTCTAGGTTTATTCCATCCCGTACATTTTTGTATTCTGTAAATCCAATGGATACCTTACCAGGAAATCTTCATTCACTTGAAACCAAACAGATAATCAAGGGGCTGGATCTAGTGTTGTATGTACAATGCTTCTTTAGAGAACAAAAGGCAAATGAAAACTAGACTGAGGTTTCTGTTCTGTGGTACACAAGAAAAATTAAAACTTTAAAAGATGACACAACACAGCTCAGAGCCATCTTGCAACAAGGGTCTTCAAATTTATACCCAATTGCTGATAAAACTCAGCCCTGGAGTTGTCTTCCTGTTATTCTAACATGTTTTTCACATTCATCCTAAAATCTTAAAAAAAAAAATTCAAAATGCAAACAGTTTAAAAACCTTTTTTTTTTCCCTCTCAAAGCAAATAGTTCCATAAAACACTAGGTCATAGGGCCTCAGTGTATGTGTACTGAGTTTGAAGGGCCAAGCGATAATCTATAAGCATGACCTATTAGCAATACATTTGTAAAACAAAAGTAAGCCAAAACCTGTACAGGATAGTATCAAAGCCTTAGGAACAACAGAACATACATATTTTATGACATGGTTAGAGAACCATGTCCCCTTTACTAGTTAACATACTGGTGAGTGTCCCCATTTTCATCAGCAAAGACATACTAACACTAAGCAGATGAAAGGCCCATCTTGGAGCATCCTGCCCCAGGTAGCTGATCACCGTGGCCCCACATCATGACACATCTTTTCTTTTGGTCATTCTTGTGCAGTGCTTTTCTCTAGATTTGGATTGTCACTCAAGCCTCTTCATTTATAACGTTCATTAAACATTTGGTGCAATACCTCCTGATTCTTTTGTTGGCTTGTGGGTAAACTGCAAATGTGTCCAAAGTGAAAAAGCAAACCAACCAATCAACCTTTGGGTTCTTTTCTGGGGCCAGGAGTGTGACATGAACAAATGTCACTGGGGCAGCATGAGGGGTACGTTAGCTGAGCCCTTGGTTGTGTTACCTAAGCTCTGTCCCCTTACAGAAATGGCCACAGAAGAGCAAGTGTGCTGGTTGCAAGAGGTTTTCCCATGTGATTCTTACCCCACATCGTAACAGGTTCATTCTCTGAGGTTCAGCTACTTTCAAAACACACATAGACAAGGGCCTTAGTTCAAGACTGACCCTGAACATGTCACTGGCATTTTCACGCATCGGACACGTGATAGCTTCCAGGAGCCTGAGGGTCTATTCACTATCAGAGATGCTACAGACTGCGTAACAGCTTGTGCTAGGGAACTGTTCCTCTTTCCCATCGCCACAGGTGTTGCACCCATACACACCAACCGACATCTAAGTCTGTCTCCTCCACAGGCTGAAAAGAAAGCCTCTTGGAATGTCAAGCCGAAATATAAAAGGGCTTCCCATGACAGTGATCACTGAATCATGGTGAAGAAAGCTAGCAGGCAAATTTGCAATTCACCACATTATCCCCTGTTGTCTCAAAAGTGATTCTTTGAAAGTCAGCCTGCATACACACTCTCTTTTTGAAGCATTTTTTTTCTTCTTGTAACACATTGTATATTCTTGTTTTTGTAGAATATCCAAGTAAGGATAAAATGATAAAAATTACAATAGGTTAATTGCATCCCTCGTATCACATATTTTTGGTGCATTAAAAAAGGAGGAAAAAAAAGTAAAAGCAATCAGCATAATAAATCCGCCCTAGAGAACTGTGTTAGTGACTGAAGGGCTAACACAGATTTTAGAAGTAGTTAAAAATAGTATTAGAGGATTATACATACAACAGTCTGAAATTCATATGCATTGCATTTTTTTTTTTTCCTTTTAAAAGTGGCAAAATGTTTGGCAAATGTAAGCAAATGACTTGGACTGTGTTGGGTCTCACTGGCTCTGAGCCGGGTCAGTCATAGCCAGGCGAGGCCTACTGCTTCCTGAGGTCACTCTGTGGGGCTGGGGGAAGGTGGATGCCTGCCACGGGGCGGTGCTGGCCCTCTACCCGGCCCCCTCAGGCCCTCAGTCTTGAAAATGGAAATGGAGCTGGTGAGAGGTGCCAATTACAAACTCCAGCGCGGATCACCCATTAGCATCACTGAGAGAACTCTGGGGCCTTGAACCACATGCAGACTGGGTGAGTCGTCTACACAGTGACCCATATTGCAAAAGTTAGAGAGAGGCGTGGGGCTTCCACCCCTCTGACTTGTGCGCCCGCCCCCACCCCCACGTGGAGAAGGAGGATGGCGCAGGCCGTGTCACTAGTGCTTAATCTGGCAATGTTTTCAACTTGTGGGTTTTAAAAATTTTTTATTTTAGTAAACTTTAAAAAAAGTGTTTTCTGTTTTTATATGTGTATGTATATCCAGAAATGTCCATCCTCCAAGCTGGCCACCACTGTTCCCTGAATTTGGCAGTGCCTGTTGCTTGCAGCTGTTGGCATCCCGAAAACCACGAGGTGCCTTCAAAGTAGACTCTGTGGCCCAGCCGCGCGAGTGGCCTCCAGGACCCCGCCGCACGATCTCATTCTCTCCTTATTCTGAATCCTGTCTGGCTCTGATGCTGAGAAAAAGGATAAAGTCTGTGTGTCCGTCTGTGTGTATGTGTGTGTGTGTGCATCTGTGCCTCTGCGTGTGTGGTGTTTTTTTTTTTTTTTTTTTTTTTTTGGAAACCTTTTTTTCTTTTTTTAAGAAAGAATGACCCTTGGATTACTAATACAGAGTTCAGCCCTCCTTTAGTCACTATAAAACGGACTCCATGTTTTCACACCACTCATGGTCTTCCAGGTTATAGATAAACTTTGTCCTATGTGTCTGGTTTGCGGGCACAGGGTCCCTCCCCAGGTTGTCTAGGGTCAGAGTAGAGGCAAAGAACTCACTGGTGCTCAGCCCGCCCTCGTGGTTTTTGATGTAGCGTTTATAGTTTTTCCTCAGGCACTGCCACGTGGTGGTGTACAGGATGAAGGCGAAGGATTTGAGCGCGATGGCGATGCTGACGTACAGGTATCTGTAGACCACATTGTCGTAGAGGACGCAGGCGCCTTGCTCCCCACAGAACGTGCTCCAGAACAGGCAGGTGGAGTCGATGCCGGCCCCGAAGATGAGGGGTGGAGGGATGAAGCCTGTCACAGGGAAAAGAAAGTTAAGGTTCTGGCTCTGGTGGCCGATGCACCGCGTTCCGGTCTCTGCTTAGCTTTTCTTACGGCACTGCTGGGCAAGTAAGACTGGCTCTGGGGGTCAGGAGGCAAAGCGTATGAGTTTGAGTATCAGTTCTGCTTTTCTATTATGGTACAAATCTGAGAAAGTTATTTAAGCTCTCTTGCGTTAGTTTCCTTATCTGCAAAATGGGGATGATGATAATACTGCAGTCCTCACCAGACTGCTGTGAAGACTAACTTTACACACAAAAAGCATCGGCTGGACGCAGTGGCTCATGCCTATAACCCCAGCACTTTGGGAGTCTGAGGCGGGCAGATCACCTGAGATCAGGTGTTTGAGACCAGCCTGGCCAACATGGTGAAACCCCATCTCTACTAAAAAGACGGAAATTAGCCAGGTGGGGTGGTGTACACCTGTAGTCCCAGCTACTTGGGAGGCCAAGGCAGGAGAATTGCTTGAACACTGGAGGCGGAGGTGCCAGTGAGTCAAGATCGCACCACTGCACTCCAGCCTAGGCAACAGAGGGAGACTCCATCCCAAGAAAGGAAAGCATCTAGAATGGTGGGTACTGTGCCACGTTACCGTGGAAAGTGAGTGAAAGCTGCTATTATCATCATCCTCTGCTGAGAGCCTGAGAAGGACAAGACAGTTTTCCCTGAAGGGCAACATTCTTAGTGTCAGTGAAAGAAGTGCGGCCTCACAGAGGGAACTGCAACGAAGTGGCGTACTATGTGTGGTGTTCTTTCGCATGGGGCTTTTAGGGCTGTGTGTGCTCGAGTGCAGGGACCAGACGCTGGACTTGAGTACCTCTGTGTGTATGCGCATATAGTTTAAAATGAAAAATACCTGCAAATAGATGGACAACTTCCCTTCCCCTATATATTACAAGTGGGTAAGAATATTCCCAGCTCAGGAGTCAGTAACCAGTTTTGAAACCCTGACAGTAGAGCATTTCTGGCACCTAAAATCAGTCACCAAAAATGGCGGATGAGATGAAAACCTTTTCCTTCTCTGCTCCTCTCTGTGTTTCTCTGTCTGTTATTGCTGAGTTATCAGTCCTGGCTGCCCATGAGAATCCTCATCCAGGGTGTCCCATCCCAGACGAGTGAAATCAGAGCATTTGCTGTGCAGCCCGGTCCTCAGCACTTCTACATTCCCAGGTGATTCTGAGTGCAGGGAGGGAAGTACAGAGACAGCTGTACATAGTACAGATGATGGACACAGAACATCTGTACATGGGAAAGTGACAGATGAATCACTGACACAAGTTAACTGTTCCCAAAAAACTGTCCCCTTGAGGCCAGAATAAGGTGCCAACCATCTTCAGTGACAGAATGCAGAAGGAGGAAGTCAACTCTGGAACTAGGTGTGGCCATCTCTGAGATCCCAGGGCCCGCATCCCTCTATCCAGAGTGTTCCTTGCAGGCCCAGCCCTAGAGCATGTGAATTTCATTTTGTATTAAGGAAGGTCCCTCTGAGATTCTGATGAGATCTAGACCCATAGCCCAGAAAAAGACACCTACCCACAAAATCAAACCGGTATTTCAGGGGGTTCATGGATCCCTTTAGTCCCCTCATGATCGCTAGCATAACAGCATGTGCATAATAAACACAGCTGCACCTCCAACCTGTGGGGTCTCCAAAGGCAGCGGGGAGAGAGGGAAGGCTTAAGGAAGCAGTGCCTCCCCGGTTTTAATGCCAGGTGTGGAATGGGGTGAGAGGGGGCTGTGTTACCCTATCAGTGCTAATGAGCTTGGCAGAGCTCCAGGCTCTCTGGACCAGGTGCCTCTGTACTTCTCTTTGGAACTCTCCACCTTCGCTGCTTGTTACCCCAAAGAGAAACCCGCAAAAAGGATTCTGGTTGAAACTTCATTAAACTTCCCAAGCAGCTCAACTGAGTAAATAAGCTCCAAGCTCCAAATCCCACACAACCTTTTTCCTTCTTTCCAGCTGCCAGGTCAGGCTGTGGTCCTGCCGAATCGAAGCTCATATTCCTGGCATTCCCTGTGGTCCCGAAGGCTGCCCAGGTGCCTGAGCCCTTCCCCACCAACCCTGTGTGTTCTCCCTGCCCCTAACAAATGCCTTTCTTCATTTCACTGAAAAAGAGCCAACTGGAGGAACTGCCATGGCAACCGCATAATCGAAACTAAGTCATACGCCACATTATTTACGTGAAAAATGAAGATCTTGAGCCCGCTCGTATTACAGATAGACCTAGGGATACGGGGAACTAATGCTGCCTGTTTCTGCGGCACCGTGGGACAAAGCAAATCCATTCACCTTTCTGTCTCTGTACGGGGCATAACCATTAGGTTGCGATTAGCTCCCAAATGCTCCTCCTTCCTCTTCCTCGTGACCTTTCTTGAGGTCATTTCACTTTGTCCAAGCCACCCATCACCTCGCAACGGGGAGCCAAGGTTAGAGAGAACACCTCTAGTCAATGCATTGCCATGGGAAGGAACTGAGGGGGCAGATGTCCCTTGCTCTACAATGCATGGATTCTTGGATGCAGATTCCAGGTCTGGGCGAATCAGGTCATATTTTAAGCACATTGAAGGAAATGTGCAACATCAACATTTATTAAAACCAAAATCTCTCTCTAAAATACCACTATGTAACTACTTCATGTACTTGTACCTGAGAATTTTTACAGTATTTGGTTGTCTTTCAGGTAGGACATACCTCTATACGATAAAGATGGCAGTTACATCTTGCCTATTGTCAAGCTCCACTACCAGATGACAAAACCTTTAAACAGCAATTTGAAACCTTTAGACAGCAATTTTAAAGCTAAGTACTCAGGATGAGAGGATCGCATGAGCCCAGGAGTTCCAAGCTGCAGTGAGCCATGATCACATCACTGCAGTCCAGCCTAGGGGACAGAATGAGATCCTGTATCCAAAAACAAACAAACAAACAAACAAACAAAAAAACCCCCCAAAAACACAAAAACTACCAAAGTTTTTCATGCTTTCCTCTGCTTAATATTTTAGAGAGCATTTGTTGTAAAGAAGAAAGAAGACGTTTTTTGAGATGCAGTCTTGCTCTGTTGCCAGGCTGCAGTGCAGTGGTGTGATCTTGGTTCACTGTAACCTCTGCCTCCTGGGTTCAAGTGATTGTCCTGCCTCAGCCTCCCCAGTACCTGGGACTACAGGTGCAAGTAACCACACCCAGCTAAGTTTTATATTTTTAGTAGAGACGGGATTTCACTATGTTGGCCAGGATGGTCTCAATCTCTTGACCTTGTGATCCACCCACCTCAGTCTCCCAAAGTTCTGGGATGATGGGCACGAGCCACTGCACCTAAATGAGATGAAAAAACTTTTATGGTGCTGAAGCCCGGTAGAAACGCACTCGATCTTTCAGTGTCTGTTTCTTCATCTTTAAAATAGAGCTAATACCACCTGCTTGGTAAGGGCTATGGTAAATACTACACAAATGAGTTGTGTGTGAGTGTTTTGCAAGGGTCTGATCTTTCCATGTAACCAGAACTTTTGCCACCTTATTCATGTTAGAGAGGGGATTTGGAGTTACCTTTTAGAATGAACGGTAGGTTGAGTACCTTAAGTATAACCTTTATGACATTCCTGTTATACTTCTGAATAGTGAAAATACTGGTTTTCTTTTCCATCAAATTAATCTTTTCCTTTTTATTCACTTAAAATTTTTTCCCAAAGGGGAGCTCTAGCTATCAGGCCCTAAATTGCAGGTATGCCGAGAATACTAGAGGTGAACTGACTGTGTCTTTTTTGTTAGAGGCCTCTGCATTTTCAGAAACTCTCCTGCTGAGTCACAGAAGGGAGTCCCACCTTGATGACTTATTTTCTCCCCCAAGCCAGCATCCTTGTATGCTAATCACTCAGTTGGGCCCAAGAAAAACTCAGGCAGTCCCTGCAAGGAGCTGGTTCCCCAGGGATGAATGGGAGACTCCTATAGTGTGAGTGTAGCAACTGGCATGGTAACTGCTATCATTAACTCCTTGCCACCCAGGACTGTATTGCATAATGCAATACATCTATTATGCATCCCCTCCATAACCCCTCCCCTCCTACCCCGCCTTATTTCACGTACATATACACTGAGAATCAGAGATATTTGTTCCAGGTTTGATATTTCAAAACCCCAAGCCCAATAATCTCCTTCCTTCTAATTCAGAGTTTGTTGATTTGAGAAGACTTTAGAGCTCTTACTGGGGATTTCCAGGGATATGGAGAGTATTTTATTTACCCTTTTGCTAAGCTCCTGGAGTAACTGGCTTGTAGAAGCCCGGTTTTGAAGTGTGCAGAGGGTGAAACACACGGGGGTTCTGATCTTTGCCAAGCGGGCACCCTTCCTTCTCTGGAGTTGCTAATACACAGAGAAGGCCGGGAGACTTATCTTGTAAACAAACTCAGTATTTCGGTGGACACCTAAGGCAGTACTGGCAGATACTGTGACTGTCAGCAGGAAGAGACCCGGAGTTGTTATCCTTATAGCCTTTGGTCAGACAGGGAGTTCACATCAGGTGTTTTGGTGGTGGGGAAGAAATGTAAATGTAAGAACCAGAGGCAGTTGATTTTTGGATTCTAATTTTGCCTCTTGGGAAGTGTGTGATTCACACAACTTTAGTGAATCTCAGTTTTGCTGTTTATGCAGTGGGCACAGTTACATTTTTGGGCAGAGCTTCTGTAAGGATTCAATGGGACACCATTTGAGAACGCTCTCGCAGGGTGCGATCTCCAAAAATGTGGTTCCCTTGTTCTTGTTTGGTGTTTGTTCTAAACCCTTTAGGGCAAGTGAAAATCTGTCCTCTCTTAAGTCACTGTCTCTAGAGAAAGAATTGCAGAAAACCTTTCAAGCTGTGACTCTCCACATCTACGTGGGAGGCTGAGGGAGGACAATGGGAGGCGGAGGCTGCAGTGAGCCAAGATCATGCCATTGCACTCCAGCCTGGGTGACAGAGACTCCATCTTGAATTAAAAAA